GGGCGGGTTTTGATTTGGCGTGTGTGTGGACGGGTGCAAGTGGGTTTTCAAAGCTGATGGGTCGTGTTGGGTCGGGTATAGTGCAAGAGCGGGTTGGGATGGGTTGAAGCTGATGGGGCATGTTGGGTCGGGTATAGTGCAAGAGCGGGTTGGGATGGGTTGGGGTGGGTTCGAATGGGTTGGCTTCATACCGCAGATCCCCTTCCCTGAGTGCCAGTTGAGGATGTGGAGAAGAGGGCATGGTACGGCGCATCGGTGGTCAAGGGCGCAATGGAGTGCGAGCATTGAGCATCGGGGTCCTCTCAGCGGTCCTTGTCGCGCTCGTCGGAGACGCTGCAGCGGCAAAAGTCTTTGTCGCCCTCGTCGGAGAAGCCACGGCGGTTGAGGTCCTCCTCGTCGCCCTTGCCGGAGAAAGCCGCGAGGCCAGCACGGACAGCAGGACTCAGGAGAGCGCGACAGCGGCCGCTGAGGCGCGTAGCGGCAAGCGGACGAGGATGGCGTGGATGGTAGCTTCGTCGAGCGCGCTAAGCAGGTCCTCCGCATCCGCGGCACAGGCTGATGAGTGAGCCATTTGCTTTCTTTTTCCAAGGACTGAAGAAAGCATCGAGATGATATGATTGATTAAGCCACCGCTGCTGTGCAGAAGCATGGGGCCATGGGCCATCGTGGAGGCGCAGCACGGCATGGGTTCTGGGCGGGTTGCAGCGGCATTTGGGGTGGGTTGGGGCAGGTCGATAAGATGATTTGTTGGGTAGGGTTGGGTTGGAGAAACTGATAAGCTGTGGGTTGGAGCAGGTTTGGGCTGGGTTTAGCCCCATTAGCAGGGCTAATTACAATTGTGACTGGCGTTTGGGTACATTTATGGAAATGGATTGGCATCCTTGTGTTGTTGTGCCAATGTCTCTTGTTTTCTTGGGAAACTACAATCTCATCAATGTTATTGCTTTCTCCTTGCAGGGCATTCGAGATGCAACTCTTGACTTACTGCACATCCTTGTAGCAGTACATGCAGAGGTTTCCATCAATTGATTTTTCTTATTTTGATTATTTATTAAACTTTGTCATGACATCATTGTCTTTCCTAAAATGCTTGAAATTGGCATAAGAACAAACACTTTTACTGGAATTTTGGTGTGATCTTTGGGCCCACAGGTTCTATGGCAGTACTGTTGTATTCATATTTGCATCAGCAAAAAGCCCCGATGTTAAGTAGCTGAAATTTTAGTATTTTGTGGCAACAACTAGCAGTCTAGCACAAGTCAGTATGGCACCTAGTACTGGGTACAGTGTTTGTCCATCTAGTTGGTGACACATATTTTACTCTTAGGATGTTTGTCTGGAAAGATCTGTTATTTATGTGCTTCACCTTCTAATATATGAAATATTGTGCGTAATAAGAAAAATACTGTAGCATTCTTTCAAAGTTTATTCATTACTTAGATGAAGAAAGGCTAATGAAATTCCCAGCCTCCTATGCTGCTCATTTTGGTAATGGCCATCCTTTTACTGCATGTATTTCGTTTCTGATTGTTACATATAATCTTATTATGTCGTCAGCATTCTGTCTTTCGAATACAATTTGACTATGTATCCTCGTGTCTATATTTGAAAAGAGTAGATGCAAATCTCACTTTTTTACTTTCAGGTATACTCTGGTGCTCGGCCTTTGTTGGAGAAGACAATGAAAATTTTGGTTGAGGGTTTGGTCGACATCTTTCTTAGTGTTTTTCATGAGAATAAGACCAAAGATATTAGATTGTTAGATGCGAATGGTTTTTGTCAACTCATGCTTGAGGTAAATGTTTGTTATTTTTATTTGCCACTAGATTCTTCTCAAGTCACAGCTATGCTAAGGGCTAATGGCTCAAGTGCTCTGCTTGGTTTACTACCTTTTGTGTCATATTCCTGCAGCTTGAGTATTTTGAGAGTGTACTACAAACATACTTCTCACCCGAGGCGCAACAGGCTATGAAATCCTTACAAGAGAATTTGTTGGAAAAGGCCTGTGAAAGTGTTGCAGAAGCCATGGAAAATCCTGGACACCAACGTCGACCAACCCGTGGCAGTGAAGATGCAGCATCAGATGATAGACAACCATCAGTATCACCTGATGATTTGCTTGTAAGTGCACAGAAATATTCTACTTATGGATTTTTCAAATTGATGATAGACGGAAAACACATCTGTCAGTGTAGTGTGGCATGAATTTTGTGAAAGCAGAGTTTTCTGCTGTCTTCTGAAAGTTTCAGTTTCTGTTGCTATTTTCACAACCGAAACAAATATAATTTTCTTTCCAGGTGCTTGCTCAACAGTACAGTAGTGATCTGCTGCAAGGGGAGTTGGAGAGGACTCGATTGAACATAGCCTGCTTCATGGAGTCAACCCTTCAATCAACAGCTGCGCCAGCAGGCTCAAAGCCTGCTGCATATTCTTCTTACCAAGCACAAGTACCACAGCACGCCCCTGTTCAAACATCCTCGCCTAGTTTTAGACGGCAGCAGACTGGTACAAGTTCTCCTGTAGTCTCCAGGCGACGCCGGTGAGCTTAGTGTATCTTTGGATTATTGGCGTAGCCCCTTTCCTGTAATTTCCTTCTTTTTTCCCCCACTCGTGGGTTTTGTTTTTTGATTTCTTGTAATTATCATCCTGTTGTCATGTGTTATGAATTTTGATTGATCCATTCTTTTGGTGTTGTAAGATAGATAAGAAAGGGGTACAGGTGCTGCTGCACGGGACCATCTAACTGTATAATATCCACGAGTCAAACATTATTGCCTTGCTGCCTGAAGATATCGCCGCAGCTTTATTTAACTTATCTGGAGTTGTTGGTCTGCGCCAGCCTCCTGCGGTCGCCACCGCTTGTTTGTATATTCATTCACTCACTTGGACAGTTTGTGTATCCCGACATTTGTTAATGTTGTATCAGGTGGTTCGTGGTTATTGGTATCCAAGTCTGCATGCTTTGTGGAGGTATTTATCGTGCTACTGCAAAAGTTCATGCTGTATCGTTATATCGTGATATAGACATATAGTTGAAGATGGGTAAAGCTATTTGTTCTTTGAAATACCCAGATGTATCAAAGTTGAAAGAAAGATAAGAAATGCTGGCTGGAGTGCATTACCGATTCGCTTTCATCCCCGAATTTGAATCCGCAGCGGCTGAATCGTGTATGAGATTCAACTAGCATCGGGATAATTTTCTTATATTTCAAGCTGCTGTTAACTGCATATTCTTGGTTCGTATCGTTGTTGGTTCGTTTATGTGAGAGAGAAATGCTGCTGGATGGTTCATGTGAATAGTGTGCATGTGAGGGGGCTGGCCGGCCAGCCAGCCCCAGCCGAACACGGCGTGTTGGTTGGAGTGCAATACCGATTCGCTTTCATCCCCGAATTTCAATCCGCAGCGGCTGAATCGTGTATGAAATTCAACTAGCATCGGGATAATTTTCTTATATTTCAAGCTGTTGTTAACTGCACGTGGGCATGCTCTCTTTCTCCAGTAGCAGCCCATGTTACGTGCACTGCCTCGCCCTTGTTTATTCAGGACTCTGTCTCCGTGCGTGTTCGACGAGTGTGCACCTGTAATTGAATTCGTCTTGCGCAATTGCCAGCACATGTCTCCCGCGATCCGAGCTACTGAGCTACACCCTCCCCGTCCCCCTGCATGTGGACCGAGTGACCGGGTTCACGTGCTGATTGATCCCTTGCCGTGGAGGATCGAGGACAAGTCAAGAAGAGCAGTGCAAGTGCAAGCGGTGCTCAGCTGCTGGCTGCTGCTGCTCGTGCCCGGCCACAACGTTATCCTCGTAGATGTGGCCAGAGTTTTGCAGCCAGGAGGGCCGGCCACCTCCCACCCACGTATTAACAAAACGCCTCCCGAAGCAGAGCCTCGGCGCGCGCGCACGCGTAGCGAAGCAGCAGGAGCATGGAGCTGAGGCCGACCAGCGACCGTCAGCACGCTCTCTAGCCAGCCGAGCCGGTCGGCCAGGTGGCTGGCCATGTCAGCCACCGTTCTCTTCGCTCCGGTGCAGTGCCACCGCGCTACCGCGACGACGAGCGGGCGGGGCGCCCCCTCGCATTGCGCACTACTGCTCCCCCCTCGGCACCGGCGCCGGGCCCGGGGATCGGTGAGGGCCGTGCCTCCCGAGCAGAGCAGCTTGCCTCAGGCGCCAGCGGCAGCGGCCGCGGCGGCTGTCTACGGGACTGCTGGCGACGTCAAGGCGGCACTGTACGGAGCGCTGGACGGCGCCAACCGAGGGATATTCGGGATGACGTCCGCCAAACGGTCGGAGATCCATGGCCTGGTGGAGCTGCTCGAGTCCAGGAACCCCACGCCGGAGCCCACCGCCAAGCTGCAGGACAAGGTACCTACGGCGAGTGTAACTTGTAATACTAGCTTATCCTTATCATCACTACTACCAACTTGGGATATAATGCTAGATGCACGAAAGAGAGCATTTGAAAGCCTTGAAATGCGGATTGCATCTTTTCATTCTTAACTAGCCCAGTTTAGTTTTCTCCCAAAATGCCAAATTTTTCAAGATTTCCCGTCACATCGAATCTTTGACGCATGCATGAAGTATTAAATATAAATAAAAAATAAAACTAATTATACAGTTTAGACGAAATCCACGAGACGAATCTTCTAAGCCTAATTAAACTATGATTAGACACTAATTACCAAATAACAACGAAAACTACAACAGTGTCATTTTGCCAAAATTTTCGGCATCTAAACAGGCCCCTAGTAGCTACCATACGTTTTAGCCACCTGGTATAAGTAGATATATAGAGGAATGCTAGCTGTGCCGTTCGAAGAGTGTATGCCAACTGCTTGTTCATTCAGGAAAGTACTGACATGTACAGTGGGGTGTTTGGGTGGTGGAAGGTAGATGGATGCTGGAAGCTCATCTACAGTACGATCTCAATACTGGGGAAGAAGAGAACCAAGCTAGGACTGCGAGATTTCATCAGCCTGGGGGACTTCCTCCAGATAATTGACGTCAAAAAAGTCAGTAAAGGCTACCCTGCTGTAAAATTTTTTCTCATGCCAATGTTTTTTTTTCGCGAATGCGCACGAGAGTGCGTATCTTTGCATTAGAAGAAGGAAGGTTTACGTTACAAGAATGCCGTAGACGGCAGTGACAGTTGTTTGGTGACTACATTGTAATTAAGCACATCAGGAAGTTTCTCATGCCAATGTTTGTGCCTAGTGTCTGTAGTTCTGAATTTCTGACACTCTCCTAGTCACCGCGCTACCACTACCAGCCACCGTTGTATGCATTGCATCCATGAGCAGATGAAGCCACCTGTACAATTTTGTTACAAACATTGCCTCTCCTAGCCTAGCTACCCCCTCCTCCCTTTCTTGTGGAGACAATGTTTGTACTCATGCATGCATACAACGCATATGCTATGTTGTTCTGATCCTCTCCTGACTGGTTGCGGGCCACCGCTTCATCTGCTTCGATCTGCTCGATCTTTTATAATCTTGAGTTCTTGACACAAAAACTAATCACACTGGGTCAATGAACTATATATCTAAATTGAGTGTTGTCTGGATATTCTAATTGCATACAAAGTAAGTTTTGATTTGTGCTATACTTGAAATAAATGGAGATTTAGCGTCACTTCTCTACACCCAAAAGGAAAAGGCGGTAAATGTGATAGAGTTCAGCGCGAGAGCATTCAAGATATTTTCGGGGAAGCTCACCATCGAAGCTTCGTACACTGTTGCTAGCCAAACAGTAAGGCTTCTTTTCTGGTGTTCGCTCCTGATCTTGGTTAATTAGGCACTGTTTTGGCAGTACGTCTTACTGCTGTTCCTGATCGCTGAATCGAAAGCTTGGAACTTCCTCACAACCTGTGCCTTCTTGTTTCAGAGAGTGGATATCAAGCTTCAGAGTTCAACTATCACCCCTGAGCAGGTAAAAATATGTACTCTAGTACTATTTATTTCCAGGTCACGGATGATACCATGGATTTTCGTAACATAAAGTCTACTGTTTGTCTTCAATCTTAATTGATTGTCACATTTGGATATATATATATGCAGCTGATGAACATATTTCAGAAGAACTACGACATGCTCCTGGACATATTCAATCCAGAGGGCTGGCTGGAGATAACGTATCCTTTAACTTTATTTTCCTTATTATGGATTACTACGTACTGCTATATTGAAATTTAACTTTATTATGAATATATCTCTAGCTATTGGACCGATCGCTGCAAAATAATTTAGTGCCGATTAATAAATAAGATGGCAGCAAAGCTATACTATACACAAGTCTTCCTCAATTTTTTGAATAGATATGTTGATGAATCTGTACGGATTGGAAGAGATGACAAAGAAAACATATTTGTGCTCGAGAGAACAGACCCATCAGAAGTTTAACAAACTGCTGCCGCAGTTTATTATGGGCACAGCCGCACAGGCGGTTCATAATTTTGTGTCAAGGAGTGCGACGCGCGGAAAAGATAGCTTTGCATATAGATCCTACAGCTAGCACTACTATTGGTTATTGACAGTTCGATGCAGACAATCTACTCGAAGTAAAAAAAAAAAACTTTCTTCTCAAATATACACACAGACACAAGCAGTTGTTGTTTTTTTTTGAGTTTTTATTAAGAGCATAGAAGAGCAGCATATGGGTTCTCTGAAAAAGGACTATGCAAGCTATTATCTATCCTTCATATAGAGAAATGGGAAATTGATCAACATTAGGAAGCAAACAGCTGTTGTATTTGGATTTTGGAAGCATGCCATGGCTCAACTATATTCGTCCTTGTAAGACATAGTGTAATGAGTGTACAGCTCGAAACACACAGTCTGTTTGGCTGGTGCTGATATGATCGTATACGATTGTGGATTATTACTGTCGGCTGGTTTGATGTGAGAAAAAAATACTGTTCTGGCTGGAAATTTACGATCGTTTACGACCAAGCGAACAGCCCGACAGTGCTCAAGTATTTTCGTTGCTGTTGGTGCTGTTGTTGTTCCTGTCTTGTGAAGTGATCACTAGGCGAACAGATCCCTAGAACTTTACTGTATGTTCTGCCTTTGCAGTGTCCTATATATATAATATATTTATTATAAGAAATACTAGTACTAGCAAGGACAAGGCTCTAAATTGATGAAGCAAAATGAGCAATATCGAACAGGTCGAGCTGCCGAGTTGTGCGACAGAAACCGCCAAGCGCTGTCCTTGCCTAGGCACACACGTCAGCGCTGTCCTTGCCTAGGCAGCCAGCAGAGTCTACGTACTGATTGACGCACTGCGACTGCGACTGCGACTGCGAGCGCACACGTCAGCAGGCTCGTCATCGATCCATCCTCTGCAGTGTGCAGCCATCGGTTCTCGCGACATGCCTTGGCGTGCCTCCGCCTCGTTCGCGACGACACCGAGAAAACCGGCGCCTGGCACCTAACGCCGCTCGGATCACATATGCCCGGCCAGCTGCTCTGCTTGCTTGGTCTCGTGCCAACCATCGGTCGTGTCATTATATGGGTCGTGCACTTCGTGGCCAGCCTTGTTATCACATCACCTGGACTTGGTGTTTGAGCCGACAGCCGATCGAGCCGGTGGTGGTGGCATGGGGACCGGTGGTGGCAGCTGTGTGGTGGTGCACGGCGCGAAGCCGGCGGTGGCCATGGTCGCGGTGGAGTTCGTCTTCTCGGCGCTGCAGATCTTCATCAAGCTCGCGCTGGACGACGGCATGGACGTCCGCGTCCTCGTCGCCTACCGTCTCATGTTCGCCGCCGCCTTCCTCTGCCCGCTCGCCTTCCTCCTCGAGAGGTAACGTGCATGGGAACGTGTGTGTATTAGTGTATATGCGGTATGTGCCGTACATCAGGAACACGAAGACGTACGCGCGCGTGCCTGCAAAGCTACACGCTACTTTTGTACATGCGGCCAAGTGAACGGACAAAGTTAAAGCACGACCGGTCGCGCGATAGGGAATCACGCGACCTGGCACCAGGCGCCTCCACCTCTGCCTTCCTAACCCACCATCCCCCGCCAGCGGCTGCGACGCCCACCTCCTACCCCCACGACGCCGCCCTCCTCCTCATCCTCGCCCCTGCCGCCGCCCACCATCCCGCCGCGGCGCGCTAGGATTTTCTCCGGTCCTCCGTGGCCGCATTTAGACACTTTCCTCCCACAGACAAACAAAAACGAGACAAACAATTGATCATGGCCTTAATTTGGAAATGTCCACTTCGAATACTTTGTTTTCATAGGAGTATTTTTACTTGTAACAATAAGCAAGCGCCTTGTGCTTCCTGCAGGAAGAAACGGTCACCACTAACCATGAAGGTGGTGCTAGGGTTGTTCCTGTGTGGGCTTTTTGGGTAAGTGCTGCCATCATTTCTTTGCTGGGTGATTTTTCTTGTCAGTTGTAAACTCCCCTCTGTATATGAACTAGATTTTACAATTTGTTGTACGCTTGTACCAGCTCTAGAATTTGTTGTCAGTTTTGTTTTAAGAAATGTTGAACTACCCCCCAGAAAAAAATCATCTTCATCATTTCACTTACAAGCATGACTTGCACGTGCATAACCTTTTTGTTGACACAAATGCAGAATCGCAATAAACCAGAACTTGCTAGTGCTTGCCATGAAGCTGACGAACTCCACGACCATCGTCACAGCTCTCAGCAACCTCACACCTCAGTCCACATTCATCGTCGCGATCTTGACCAGGTCACCGGACTGCCCCCCATCTCCCACCCATTTTCACATGCACACCGATCTCACCATCATGTAGTATATCTTTGCAATACAGGCAGGAGATGGTGAAGGTTGGCAAGGCCAGTGGGCGAGCGAAGCTGGCGGGGACGCTGGTCGGCCTCGGCGGCGCGATGCTAATCACCTTCTACAGGGGCCCGGAGATCGGGTTCATGCACCGCCTCGCGCGCACGGCCGGGCTCAGAGACGCCCATGCCCACAACCACGACGACGGCGACGTCCTGTTCCACGGGACGTCGTCTGCCGCCGCGCGGACCGTGGGCTCGTTCCTCGCCATCGCCAGCTGCTTCAGCTACGCGATCTGGCTGTCCATCCAGGCGCGCGTCGGGGAGGTGTTCCCGTGCCACTACTCCATCGCGGCGCTGGTTTGCCTCTTCGGCGCGGTGCAGTCGGCGCTGCTCGCGCTCTGCTTCCACAGGGACTTGCCGCACTGGAGGCTCGGCCTCAACGTCAGGCTCTACTCGTCAGCCTACGCGGTGAGAAGACAAGTGATGGTTGATCGATCGATCTACAGCTACAGGACATGGTTTCTTGATTGATTCCTGGGAGGCTCTGCTGCGTGCAGGGCATCGTGGCGTCCGGTTTCGCGTTCCCGCTCATGTCGTGGTGCCTGCGGAAGCGGGGGCCGCTCTACGTGGCCATGTTCGGCCCGCTCATCATCGTCTTCGTCGCGGTGCTCAGCTCCGTCTTCCTCGACGAGACCTTGCACCTCGGGATGTACGTAGTACGCGATGCCTGCGCCCTGCTTGCTTGCTTGCTTGCTGCTGTGCCTCGCCTTTACTTTGCTTCTCTCGCCTCTGCAGCGCGCTCGGCACGGTCCTGATAGTGGCTGGGCTGTACATGGTGCTCTGGGGCAAAGCGAGAGAAGCACAGGAGAAAGAAGCTGCTGCACCTGCTCGTGCTGTGCCCACGGATGAAGAACTGGGCAAGGAATCCACTGCTCCTGTGCCCACGGATGAAGCACAGGAGAAAGAAGCTGCTGCACCTGCTCGTGCTGTGCCCACGGATGAAGAACTGGGCAAGGAATCCACTGCTCCTCCTCCTGCTGCCAATGGTGAAACAAAATGACGAGACTTGATCTTCATCACGGCCTATGCTCAAGCCAACTTTGCTGATCGACGGTAGCACGATGGCTGTGGACTCCGATGTTGGATATTCGTTCCGCAAAACCTTCTTGGTGAACGGAAGAATCTGCCAGTAAAGCTGGTATGCTCGGTTACGGGGCCAAAATTTGACCCAAATATTTTAAATCTCAAAATTATTTAAAACATGACCAAGGTCTGTTCAAATTATGAATCAGTTATGTTTTGATCTGTAAAACTGTTTTGTTAGATCTCAAAGCTAAGGTTGATGACCAACAGTAGTTATTACCTATTCGTGGATATAGAGGCTGGATTAATGAAAATCCATTATCTATGGTTGCAACTTGCAATTACTTCCTCCGTCACAAAATAAACACATATCTCACTTTTTTATGAGTCAAAACTTTTAAATAAATATTTTTGAACTGAGCGGAGACTGCCAGTAGCAATTGAGTGTGGAGATTTATTTTATCAAAGCATTTGGGTTATTTTATTGTTAATAAAGAAAACAATGTCTGATTGATGCTAGTTGCGTAAAGAGTCCCGAAAAGGGAGGGGAAAACGGGATGATTGCTTCGCCCAGTAAACTATGCTTGCTCTGATGACCTGGCCTTTCTCCTGTTAAAAGGTGGGTACCTTTCCCTAAATCCTTCTCCCGTGCATGCTATTCTCCTGTTCCCCCGAAGGGCGGTATCAATACGGCAACCCGAAAGCTCGTTATCAAAGTGGTCTCTTCTCAAAAGCTTATCTGCCAGATGCAAACAAGTTCGTGGTAACAGGGGGCAGCAGGTTGGATAAGGGTGCCAGTGAAGAAATCAAGAAGTTGGAGTGTCAACTTAAATATTTTTTTGAGGCATGTTGTAAAATAGCGTATGTCTAGGGATGTGCTGTCATATCATCGCTGAAGAATACATCAACGCAAATCCTAGATGAGGTGATGCATCACCACAGATTTTATTAACTTATGAGAAACGAAGTGGTGATGGATTAACTTATTCCATCCACAATCAAACAAAAAAGTGGGAAAATGGTAGACTACAATGAACAAACCAATAGCCCCCAAGACATCATAGACGCGGACGAAGCCTTTCAATTAAAAAAAAACCAGAGTTTGTGCACGCAAATGCAAGCTCCACCACAGCAACAACAACAAAAAAAGGCACTACTAGTCTAAGACAGTGTATCTCATTACCACAACACAATGGGAAAGGCCGTGGATTCCTTCGTGAAAAAAGAAAAGAAAAGCCGAAGGATCGAATTCCTCGGTTGGTTATGCTTGCTTGCAGGCAATATGAAAGTTCACGTGAGGTGGATTCTTTCTTCATGTTTCCATCGTTTCCAATCTGGAGCTCTGTTGTAAACTCACACTCCCATCTAGAGCAATCATCTGATCTGATCAATACTCTGAAAATGTGTTCGATGGGGCTCTCAATTGCTTGTGCAGGCAATACGAAAGTTCAGTTCGTTGTCATGGAATCTTTCTTCGTGTTGCTACTACTCTTTCCAATCTGGAGCTCCATGGTAAACTCATATTCCACCTGGAGAAATCATCTATCACCAAACATAAGATTGTTGATCTGATCAATACTAATGTCTGATATGGGTTCAATGGGCGTCTCCTCCTCAATTGCAGGAGAAACCGTTGTGCGCTCACGACTATTTTCATCTGTGAAACAATCATTGCAACAAGATGAATGGGACAATATGTAAAAACAAGAATTTGCAAAACAATACAATCAGTTGAAGGAGGAAGGGGATTCAGTCTCACCGAAGATAGTACCGCAGGAAGTCGGTGGAGGAGTGGCAACGAAGTTGAGGCCCATGTAGATACCCATGGACAGCACCACGGCCACAATCAAGAACGATGGCACCGCCAGTGCCCAATACCTGAACGAAAGCAAGCCTTGCAATCAGCTACAGCAAGAGACACCCATCCAAATCGAGCAGTTTTTTAAGCTATAATATAATATACAAGCAGCAAAGTTATGGATGCCCACGCATTAATGAAATTCAGATTTCATTTGATTTTATCAGAATTGCAACCATTCAGTGTCTAACTGCCTAACCCAGTGCTGCTGATGATATAGAATTTTATTCGGAATGAACAAGAACAAGGACCAAAAACGAAAGAAGAAAAGGTCATGGACAGTAAGGGGCGATGGGGAGAAGAGCAGTGTGTCATACTTGCTAGGGTAGTAGGTGATGCCGACAGACCGGAGGACGGGCTCGGGCGTGTATGCCCAGGCGAGGTAGACGGCGGTGGCGATGACGGTGGTGATGGATCCGACAAAACCGTACACCTCCGACGGCTTGGGGCCGTGGTCGCGGGCGGCTAAGGAGGAGGACCTGGTGGAGGGGGCCCAATTACGGTGGGGTCGGCGGTTGCGGATCAGGCTGACCGTCTGCCTGGGGCTGCGCACCACCAGCGACGGTGACAGTGACGGTGATGTCGACGGCGGCGGCCACTCCATCGTCTTCCTTAGTCCTCACCTCCTCGGCTCCTCGTCCGTCTCGTCAAGCAGGCTGCAGCACAGATACGGATACATGTATCGGTATCGGAAGGATACATGTACATCTCTCTCTCTCTCTCTCTCTCTCTCTCTCTGCGGATACGGCAATTTCTCAAGAAAACGCATTATAGCGATGCGTCAAATTCACAAACAAGTCCCTTGGATAGAAATAACACTTACTCATCAATATTTGGAAGAAGAAGAGGCAGTGGGGAATAAGTACTAAAGAAACGGAGTAGATCAAGAATGAGGAAGGCCGGAAGGCGATAAACTCACCGGTCACCACTCGCCGGAGCCCGGAGGTCGCCGGATCCATGCTGTGCCGCCGGTTTTCTCCCCTGTCCGCAGTCCCGCAGGTGCTGTGGTGGCTTTCTCGCGCGGAGCGGCAGTTTCAAGGAGAAGGAAGAACTCGCCGGTGTGGCTGCTGGCTTCCGCGGAGGCTCGTCGCCGGCGGCCGGCAAGCTGCGGCCCACGCTCCTCCCGCTGCTTCGTCGGTTCGGCGTGGGTACTGGGTAGGTTTCTGCCGTGCTGACTCCTGCTTGTTGGGCTGGTTGGGCCGTATCCAACCAGTTGATACATATCGGCCAACGTACTCATAATCGCTAAAAATTAATAAAAATCAGATACTCCCTCCGTTGCGATTTATATAGGTTCAATTTTTCTGGACACATCGTATGGCTCTTTTTTTTAAAAAAAATTAGCCATATCGTATATCTAGATGTATAAAAAACCTATGTATCTAGGAAAGACAAAACCACCTATAATTTAGGACACAGGGTGGTGGTACTCCATAAATATGTATCGATGCCATATTTGTATCCGCATCGGTATCGAAAAGGGGACCAATGCCAAGTATAAGTGAGGGTTTTCTTTTAAAAAAATACAAGCCTGCATGAATAGCTTCATGACCACGGGGATGATGTCGTGCCATGTTGTGCTGTGCCGAATTGTGCTAGGGCCGGGCTGCCCGTGCCACCCTTTTGGCCATGTATAGGTGGGAGAGAGGTCAATGCTGGTCAATGCAGGCATTAGCGGTGGATATCGATTTTATATTTATACCTGGCCGTCAAAAAACCCATCTTTGGACCCTGAGCTTGGAGCAGTGGTGGGCGTGGCTAGCGACATCGTGCTGACGTGGCCAGAGGTTGGCGCCACAGTTCACGGCGCCGAGCTTGTGCTCGTAGCCATGAATTGTGGCGCCCACCTCTGAATTGAACCATAATCATAAATTATCATGACTTGGACATCCTAAAATTTTACCATGACATGGTCATATAAAATTTTAGCTACATTTTGTGATGCCTTCATTAATGAAATGACCCACCTCCTAAAATTAATTTTGTAGTAGTGCTAGTAGCTCGTCATCGCGAAAGAACGATAGTTATCTCGCGTGGTCAATTTCTTATGGAAACAACAACATCAAGATTTAACGTGATAGTAAATTAGATCAAGATTTGACGTTATAGTAAATTAGATCACAAAGCCCAACAAGGCAACCATGCACACAACTTAAACCAAGAAAGCAGGGAAACACCGCAATGGCATTAACATGTAAGTAGGACAATCATTTGGACCGCATTACCCTGAGATCGACAGCAATCAAAATTTAGGGGCAGATCCGATGTGGGGGACTTGGGGCTATGGGGGCTCAAGCACCCCCCCCCCCCTAGGCAGTTTGTGATCTACAATTTAACAAACAAATAATGATATTATCAGTTCAACTTGATAGAATATTATTCTAACACATTGATGGAATAAACTAAACATCATTAGAAAAAGGGCTAAGATGAGTTGCTTACACCCTCAGCCATGGTAAACAAAAGGAGTAACCAACGTTTACGAAGTGGCCTCATGAAGAGACAAGCATATACATCCACAAATAAACCTCAATGACAAACCCCAAACAAGCTGCACCAAGCCATTTGTGCAAAAAATTGAAGATACTACTTTAGGTTGCCGTGCAATATAATTTGCACAGAAAGATAAAGATCTAGTTTTAGATGTCTATGCAATATATTTTGCACTGCTTGATTTGCTTTTGGTTTAACTTACCTCAATTCAGGGCCTGGTGGGGGAACATAAACGTAAGACTGTGCCAACGATCAGTGCTTGCAAGAACCGGATGCCAAGCCCCAAACCAGACTGCAAACATGCTCTTGCTTCAAGAGGGGAGCGGCTGGGAGTAGACAAGCAACATTGCACAAATTTAGCTCTCACACCACCATTCAGCTCCATTAATTAATACAAGGCACATCACAGAGTATAGCTTTACGCATGCAAGCAATATTACGCAGACCAGGAGGAAAGACCACATTTATAAACCAAATACTTGAGCATAAAAAGGGAACCGTACCAAAATCATCGGAGAAAAAGCGATGAAGTCTGACAGCACCGGCATTTGCCTTGTTGGGGGCATAAATATGTGTCTAAGGGTTACATATATGGTGAAATTTTAGATTAAATAGCTGTTTTTCCATTTTTGAGGGGGGCATTTGCACCCCATAGCTATAAGATAGCTTGCCCCTGGTTACATTTGTATATTTGACTAATAATGATCGGAGCCTCTTTCTACGTACGCTCTCTCGCAGTCATGTAATCTATTGAACATATAAACACGACACATCATCATTCCATCTAAATATTCAAATAGTGCACCATGGAGAACTGGAGGGTGTGATCAATCTCAATTACGCTAGTGCAGAGTACTAGGACGTGTTTGGAATCTTTGCCGGATACTGTTTTGTCTAGTCGAGCAAGAAAATGGGTTGAACAAGCCTTTTGAACCTTTGCCGGACACTGTTTTGTTTGGACGAGCAAAAACAATGGACTAAACAAAGCCATTTGGATCATATGATTCACCTATCTCTATTTTCACGCCGACAAGATTTTCCTTGCTGTCCAAGGAAAACTATTTAAATTGGCTCTTCTAATTGGCAAGCACTCGTAGCTTGTGCCATCTAGTCGAGGAAAGTCTAGGTGAAAATGGACAAAGTTCCAAGCGCGCCCCTAACTACATGATTCCACGACTTTTCTTTTTGTAGCGCAGCTCCATGGTTCTAGATTTCGCACTTCGTGAACCAACTACAGAGTTACAGGTTTCGCACTTCATGGTCCAACTATAGGATTTCGGATTCTAAATTCATGGGCAACTCCAGCTCGTACCCTCGCGTCCTTAGAGCATCTTCAAGAGTTTCCAAAAACCTAGTACTGATCTTTTTTTTTTGACAAGATTGAAAAACTGCTTGATGAGGACATGACCTCCATGCATACGACTATGCTGGAGACTTACATGGAGGCCAAGGAGATCAGCAGGGATGTCCAAAATGAGGATGCCCAAAGCTTATCCGGTTCGAGTCGTCAAGGTGGAGGCCCAAATCAAGTTCAAGTCCACCTTTGAATCTAGGAGTAGTCCTGAGTAAAATCGACGCTCAGTGTGCATACGGACTCGTTTTTAGATGATCCATATATGCATGGAAAGATAATTTGATAAGCTAACCAATGGCTTTGGTTTTATGTCAAAACTCATCCAGAGTCAATAGGAATTGTCGAAACAAGTCAGTGTTGGGTAGGTTTCTGCCGTGCTGACTGCTACTTGTTGGGCTGGTTGGGACGTTTCCAACCAGTAGATACATATCGGCCATGTACTCATAATTGCTAAAAATTAATAAAAATCAGATACTCCCTCCATTCCAATTTATATCTTCTTGATTTTTTCTAGACATATTGTATATCTTTCTTTTAAAAAAAAACTTAGACATGTACCTAAATTATAGGTGGTTTTGTCTTTTCTAGGTACATAGATTTTTCTTTACACCTAGGTTATGGTTCACCCTTTGTTGATGTAGATCGTAATATGTATAAATGTTGCACACGTTATTTTTGTTGTCATATCATGGGATACATAATCTAAGCTCTGCTACCGCTTGACGCCACTATCTCTAGTACAACGATGATTTCTCCTGGTGGTGCCTATATTTTTCACTGGTGGATCCTAACAAGCAGGCGCCACTAGGATAAATCTATGGGCCCGGGCTAAGAACCGCCTGTATAAAATGATTTACACTAGCGGTTTCACTATGAAAATTGCCAATGTTAATAGTCTATTTTCACTAGCCATGACCTTAAGTGTGCCACCAGTGTAAATACACTATTAGTGGCGGATGGTTTAAGAGAACCGCCTATAACAAAACTACTATAAATACTACTTGTTCCTCCCCAAACCAGAATGTTCAACCGAGCCACCTTCCATTGGCGAACTTGGAGGTCCAAAAATAGCAAAATACAAGGGAGGAGGTTTTGCTCTTCATTTCTTTGAAGGAGGTCGCTCAAGAAGGTTAGTTAATGCCTCTCATAGCTCTTTTTGCATTAGTGCTTCTCAATTTGAGTTAAAAATAGATCTAGAGTTTCATGGTTGTGTTTTGAGAGAGAGAGAGAGAGAGAGAGAGAGAGAGAGAGAGAATGGTAGTAGAGTTTTAGCCTAGGGTTTCAATGGTGTCTTAAAAGGTTTGGATTAGTTGATGCCTCACATGTCTCTTTTTGCATGAGTCCTTGTAAATTTGAGTCAAAATTAGACCTAGGGTTTCATGGGTAGAGAGAGAATGGTAGTATTCTTAGATGTAGGGTTTCATGTGTGTCTTAAAAGTTTTAGATTATTTGGCTTAAAAATTTTAGAGAGAGAGAGAGAATGGTAGTATCTCATCAATCATCAAATAACATGGAATGTGGAATATTGTTATCTATATTTTGATTGTGAATTTATTCATTATTAAATATTAAACTAGATTATTAAGTTATTTATATGAATATTTTAAATTATTTGTTACTTTTTATAATGTACCATGAAACTATGAAAATAAGTAAGTGATCGAAATGCACATTTATTTTGTGAAATTGTTGCGCGTTTGTCCAAAATTACAATAATTTTAAGTTTATTCAAATTTTTACAATAATTTCAAACAAACATATTTAATTGCACATTATTTGACTTGTTGTTTATTCTACCTACAATCAAATTTTTAGAACCTAAACTAATACTACATGAACTATTTAGTTGAAAATTAAAATATTTATTAAGTAAACTTTTATTCAATGTTAAGACTTGTGTCTATGACTTCCATTATGTGGTATTTATTCTTGCAATTGCAGTAATTATTACATCATGTGTATTCATGTTATGAGCATATGCATTTGAGTTAGGTCTGTGAGAAAGTCATATGACTATTCTGAAATGCTCTTGAGCCATGTTGGTGAGGAAGTTATATGACTATTCTGGAGTGATCTTGTGGATCATGTCGCCGCTTGATGATGGCCACGACTAAACCGACACATCATTGTACGTTGCCTGATGATGTGTAAGATGTAGCTTTCATATTTGTGGGTGTGAAGGCAGTGGACATGGCATATGCATTACATTTGCACTCTTTGATGTTTACTTACATTGAAGTATTGACGTTGTCATGAAATTGGATACGAGGAGTATTGTTTTCTTTTATTTGTGGAGGTGGTTTATTTATTGCATATCATAATATTCTTTACTTATATTTATGGTAGTGCCATTGGATAAATAACCTAATCATGAATTATTATTTTCTTATGCTATCTTATTTACTATGTTAAATTAGTGCCTAATGAACTTGTAATTTGAATGACGTTCAGGTAGTTTGCTTGCTGAGATTTATTCTCATGCTTCTTATCTTTTTTGGTACTTGATTGGATGCATTATTTGAAGGGAATGGGGGCCTGTTTGGTTGGAGGCATTGATGATTTGCTTGACAAAAAAAGTGTTGCCCGGAAATTGCTTGAAAATTTGATGAAATCTAACTGGCTAGGCAAGTTGAAGATTGATCTGTTTGGTTCGAAGCATGTGCCTGAGAAGCCAAATGAAAGGAGATAGCATATTTTTCTTATCTAATATAGAGGTATAGTTGTTTTTTTAAAATTCATAAAAGTAAAGTCCAGGCGTCCACTGCACAATTATACCTCTATATTAGATAAGAAATGAGTCTTACACTTCTCTACAAACAACGGTAAAAAGTAAAGTCTAATAAAAACTATGTTGAAACTCATGGCTGAAAAGAAGTATAAAATTAATTAGGTGCTTAAAGAGTACACCCCAGATGATATAAAGCAACTTTTGTTCTAAAATACAAGAATAACCAAAAGAGAAGGAAGCAAAAATAAAGCATTCTTAGTGTAAGTAATTCAAAGCTCAAGAAGCAACCAGCCAAAGGAGCAGAAATTAAGGATAGTATAGAGATGAACTGGAAACTGCTAGTAAAGTTACTGCCACAATAAAATTATACCCATCTTCCCCCCTTAAACTAAGGAAAAGAAATATTATACTAAATAAACAAGATTCTTTAAGACGATGGGACTAGCTGGCTCAAGAAATCCATGTGAACCTCCTTAAATTCAGAAAAGTATCGATCAAGCGCTTCCATAAATCCTGAAACAGTTTTAGCATATTTTGGGTCAGCAACTGAAAAACTGACGACCTTAATTAGTGGCAGCTAGCTGCAAGCAAATGAAAGGTAGCATGATTTTTTTCTTGAAAATATATACTTAAAGCAAGGCAGTGCTTATCAAGAGTAGAGCCACATTGCCTATAAATAGACCTGATCAATCCTACAGTTCTTGCAATTCAACAAGTCCTCAACTTCGAAACAATACTAGTCTTTGATCTCCTAGCTAGTAGTACCTGGATATGGCTCAAGGGGGTAACAAGGGCAAGAAGGCAGTGTCACTGCGAGAGAAGAAGGATGCTGCAAATGCAGCCCTAGCGGCCTTAAGGAAGGAAGCAGGGGAATATAACTCTATGGTAAGTGTGGCAGCACTGCATGGGCCCTTGATGCATTACTTCTACATCTTTTACATTACAGCAAGGATTTAGGACAAACTAGGCAATTAACTTGGTAATTATGGTTTCGTTATTGACAGATGAACAGGATGGAAACAATGGCTGGTCCAGAACTGAGGGAGTATGTGTCACAAAATAAACACACACTGGGTAGCAAGATGAAAGCAACAATTAAGAAGGTCAGCATTTAAATGCATGGTCTATTCTCTGCATCATATTGGCCATTCAGACTTTTGATCACTAGTTCCACATAGCATTATTAGGATCTATGATATGCCATGTAATACCTTATACTACATGAACTACTGTATTGCAGCTTCTACGGAAAGGTAAGCCCAAGAAGAAGAAGAGAACTATGCTGCACCCGATCGTAGGCGCAACACTCAAATTTCATAAAGATGATGACATGCCTGCAGCTGTTGGGCCTACAGGAGATGCATAAGGAGATGGATAGACTGACCATGAATATAGATGATACCTTTGGCTATCGTAGTACCCCTTGTCGTCTGAAGCTATGTGTCTTTACTGTTTACCGTGTCTTCGTATGGAACCACTGTTATGTTGTACTTCTTGGTGCAAAATGAGTCATATAATCTCCTGTCAAAAGAAGTGATTGTCGCCCAATGGTTACCTTTTAAATGCTGTTTGGCTGGGCCCTTCTGTGGCATGATCTGATAACACAACACCGTTAATTAATTGCGCTGCTTCTTGTTTGTTTCACCTCCGATGTAATCAGTTACCAGAGAAATAGCTACCGAGCTTTCAACGAGTTGATTATGATCGATTTGGGCGATAAGCGACAGCGATCTGTCGATCCCATCAATCAAAGAGAGAAAAAAATTGTCAGCTTCCATTTGTCCCATGGTTGCCGAAGGGAAGCAGCCTCCCTCTATCTAGTACTCACCCATGCTTGATCACTCTAAGCTCAGATCGAAGGAGCCACCCGCAATCCACTCCATTGGACTACTACAGAAATAATTTTTGTGCTCATGGTAAAAAACGATCTTCAAGACCGGTTCATAAATATGTACCCTTTATAGCGTCGGGCATTTAACCGTTCTTGTAAAAGCATTTTTAGGGACGGTTTCGATAAGCAGTCCACCCCTAAAAATACATTTTTTAGAGGTGGTTGGTTTATGATAACAGCTGCTTCGTGACAGCCGTCCTTGTAAATAGATTTTCAGTTAAGGTTACTCTATGACAACCATCCCTAAACCATGTTTCTAGATGTGGTTGCCTTGATGAAACCGTCCTTAAAACTACTTTTTCAACGACAGTTGTGGCAAGGCAACCTCAACTGAAAAAAAAATATGTTCAGGGGATGTTGGCTTAAACGAACTGCCCCCTAAAAATCTATTTAGAAGGTTGGTTCTTCTCAAACTAAACCGCCATAGAGTAAGAGAGGGCCTGGAGAAGCTTCTTTTTTCAACTCATCCTGCGCGCAGCTCCAGTTACCGTGATTCGTAGAACTTGTTTGGTGGAGCTATTTTTGGTTTGGGACTTCGGTTGTAGCTGGTGGAGAAGGTACACCAAATGCGGTGGTGATATGGTTTATCGATGTGGTTAGCTTGCATGAATATTTTTAAGATAATAAAAAAAATAGTTTCAACCTCCTTCTAAGAAGAAGCATCGGCCCACGCTTATTACAGTCACACACCTATCATTTAAACCTATTACAGGTTTATAAGTAAAGATTAAGATGGTAAAGGAAAGATTATCCATTCCACACGAAGCACTAGCCCTCGATTTTAGTGGGGTTTGCTCTTATGAAAGTTTTGTATTAATACAAAACGAAACCTGCATTTATTTTGATCACTCATTATCATCCATCTATGTTCAATAATTATGAGGTGATAAAATTGTGAGGTTTGCCCTAACAAGATTTGTCTTTTTTATTTCTCCATGTACAAGTTGAATTTTGATCTAAAAATTGTGAGGTGATAAAGGACATCATGATTTACATTAAAAATACATTATGATTTTTGTCATTATTAATTTTCGTACAATTTTCTATTTGTAGTGTTTATTTAAAATTTAATGTCATAATGTTTCAAAATACTTACATAAATTTATGATGCATTTTTCTAATATAAATGATAATGTTCATTATCACCTGACAAAATTTGAAATTAAAATTTAACTTCTACATGGAGAAAAAAAAAACAAATAACCATCTTAATGGATAAATTGGACCAAGATAATTGGATGGAGTAAAATGAACCAAACGTTAGTTTATATAGGGTTATTTAGACATTGACCAAACAAGGGGAGTAATCTGAACTATTTCCTTTTTTTTTAAACTAACTTTTTCCTTTTTGGAATACATACGTGATCTCTGCGTCTTCTGATATAGATATAGAGATGAAAATTGTTAATTTATTTTCTGACAATAGGGAGGGAACAAAAAGATGATGACAGATGCATTTGAGAAGCAGGGCCAGAGAAAACACGATGTCTTCTTGGTCTGCTGGAGCGAGTGCAGGCCTTCTCGAACATACTAGAAGCAGGGGAGTGCATGGCCTGGCCAGACTTGTGGCGTCACTCAGTACTCATGGTCATGGCTCGAAGGCCATGCTTTCAGCCTCGTTCTTGAGGGACTCGTACATGAACGACGACAGGTATCGCTCGCCGAAGCTCGCGAAGATCGCCTGCAGCCACAGAGATGAAGAACAAGTGAATGAGACAGCCATTTCGTCACACCACACATCCGCATGATGACAGGTTTCTGATGACGCAGGCAGAGGCAGCTTACGACGATGAGCTTGCCCCTGTTCTCGGCCCTCCTCGCGACTCTGACGGCGGCGACGGCGGTCGCACCCGACGATATCCCGACCTGTATTTAAATGAAAGACCGGGGTACGTAGTCAGTCCATCAGCAGATGCAGAGTGGGAGTTGGAACAGAGCGGATCGGTGAGGTCGCTCGCTCACCAGTAGCCCTTCTTCCAACGCGATCTGCTTCGCCATGCCGGCGGCTTCCTCGTTGGTGACCTGGAAGACCTCGTCGAGGAGGCTGACGTCGAGCACGCCGGGAACGAAGCCGGCGCCGAGGCCCTGAATCTTGTGCGGACCTGAGCTTGGATTGGAGAGACAGACGGCGTGGTGTGGTGTCAGTGACGCTCCTTGTTCAAGGCAGGCAGGCTCGGCGTCTCACTCACCAGGTTTTCCTCCGGACAGCACGGCGCTGTCCGACGGCTCGACGCCATAGATCTTGATGGCAGGGTTCTTCTCCTTGAGGTACCTCCCGGCGCCGGTGACGGTGCCACCGGTCCCGATGCCGGCGACGAGGGCGTCGACCTTGCCGGCCGTGGCGGTCCAGATCTCGGGCCCCGTCGTCTCGTAGTGCGCCCTGGGGTTGGCCGGGTTGGCGAACTGCTGGAGCACGTGCGCGCCGGGCGTCCGCGCCGCCACCTCCTGCGCCTTGCGCACCACGCCGTCCATGGTCAGCACCGGGTCCGTCAGCACCACCTCGGCCCCGAACGCCATCAGCACGGCGCGCCGCTCCGTGCTCACCGACGCTGGCATCGCCACGATCAGCCTGTACCCCTTGGCCGCCGCCATGAACGCCAGCCCGATGCCCGTGTTGCCGCCCGTCGGCTCGATCAGGACGCTCTGATATGAACACAGCAGGAAAATTCACTGGTGTCAGGCAGCACGAAGCCTGATTGATTCCATGCATGGCAGCATCGGTCGTTGTCGTTGATCTCCTCACCTTCCCAGGGGTGATGAGGCCCTTCTCCTCTGCATCGGCGATCATGCTGTAACCAATCCTGAAGGTGCACAGCACAGACATATCTGAGGCGCCTGATTGCATGCAGGAACAAGCAAACAGGCAAGCAAGCAAGCACCTGTCCTTGACGCTGGAGCAGGGCGCCATGGTCTCGAGCTTGGCAGCTACACGCGCCTCGCAGCCAGCCACCACCTTGTTCAGGTACACCAACGGGGTGTTGCCAATCAACTGATGAACAAAGTTGCAGTGAAAAAGTTTACTTGATTAATTCAGATGGACAGATACGAGTTAATGCCTGCAAATTAAACTACTACTAATTTGTTTCCGCACGCACTTGGGTGACATCTTTCGCGATCTTTGGGATCTGGTCTTTTGCGGTCGTCTTTGAACCCTGATCCTGGACGGTCGTCTCAGTCTCAGAGCTTGGAATACCCATGGTGATCTGCTGATAGATGATGCTGCACGAAGCACTTGGGAGTTGAAGTAAATGGTACGCAACATGCAGCCCTTTATATATAGCGTGCGTCCAAGCATATCTCTTTGGTATATGTGGTTGGTGGATGGTGCAAAGAAATCGCACAAACGTCTTTGTGCTTATTTTGCCCTGCCATTTTGTGTTCTCGGTGCTCTTGATCTTTTATAAATGTGTTCTCGGTGAAGTTGTCCTAGGATGATGCCGTCGATCTTGCCGATAGCTACAATAAATAAATAAAGTTGCTGGTGCTTACAAGGTTGCCCGTACGTGCATACAGCTCCTTATATATAGCGTGCGTCCAAGCATATATTTGGTATCTGTGCTCTCGGTGTTCGTGATCTTTTATGTAGCTTGGCTTCGGTGAAGTTGTCCTAGGAGGATGCCGTCGATCTTGCCGATATATACGTATATAGCTATAGCTAAAAAAAAAAAAAAAAAAAAAATTAAAGTTGCTGGTGCTTACAAGGTTGCCCGTACGTAGAGGAGACGAAATACGTAAAGCCTTGAAAACTGACAGTAGAGCAAGTAAACTTTGTTGCATATGTTCTCATCATGAGACAAAATACATACATACTTACGTCATCGTGTACTTGACGAGCGTGCATACGTATCGTGGACGACCTGCATGACGTATCTTGTTTCATCACGACGCATAGTAATAGTTCGTGTGCGTGTGGAATGTGTGGGTTATGTGTGTCCAAATTGTAACCAATAAAAAAAGTTTATTTAGTTGTTTTTTTCTTAACGTTTGTCCTGTTTTTTTTTTGTATATTTGGGTACAACTATAACTATAACCCTTAGTCACATCTCTCAAACCGTTAATCAACTCATCATTTGATCGATCAATAGCATCCATCGCCTCATGTTAGTTGTTCTCGGGAAAAAAAACCTGTCCACATGTGTTTTCCATGTGTGCAAATTATACATGTGCGAGACCACTAAATCTCGTGTGCGCGCTTGAATGGAAACGAGCGCTCGATCCGATATCATGCGCTTTCCTCTCTTGGCAAAAAAATATATCTGCAACTTTCCTTTTTTTTGGAAGTCACAAAGTTATACACATAACTTCAACATATAAAGTATGTGTATTAATTAATACCATATAACTTATAATAACTTATGTTAAAACTTGGAAACACAAAAAGTTATGAAATACCAACTTATGTACAAAATTATTAAACACAAATAAACGAATTAACTTATAACATATGCCAAAACTTGAAAACATAAAAGTTATTA